AAGTGGCAACTTACTGATCTTATATTCGACAAGCATAAATTTTTCTAATGCATATAGTTTTGTAGTGTCTACGTCATTTTTAATGCTTTTAATAAATGTCATATTTTTTTGCGAAATAGAGTTTCTAAATTGAAGCTCTAATTTTCTAGTCTGCTTAAAAAGTTTGGGAAATGAGACTTATTTGAGACGAGGAATTATTACGTATAGTGTGGGAATTTGGGAAAGTGACACCGTCATCCATCATAAACCTTTTTGTTTTTTTTACACCTTCATAAATCTTACTTTCCTTCAAGTTCAGGGTTTCAATTTTCAAATTTTCAGACCTAACAGAAAGTATGAATCTTTGCTTTCTCAATTTTTGCTAATTTTTGGCACCATTGAGTTTTCAATTCTGTAAGGAAAACTGCCAAAAAAAGAAAGCATATGCTGAAGTCTTTGCTGCAAATGCTTCTTTTTTCTTTTTTCTTTTTAGATGAAAAAAAAAAGATTAAAGATGCACTCACGCACCCTGACATCTTCACTGCCCGTCCCGGTGAGCGTAGTCCATTGTTCTGGCTTCGACGCACTCACGCCTTCGCAGAAGCTTCTCGTCATTCTCTGTGCAAGCTTGAGCATTGATCTGCAGACCGATTTCCAATTTTGCCATCTCCATTAGTAAATTATTGTGCCTTTTGGGCAAAAAAAAAGAAAAAAAAAGGAAGTGCCTTTCAGAGATCCCAGGTCTCAAATCCAAGCTTTCGAAGGTGCTGCACGAATTATTAAGTGAATTCAAATTTCGAATCAATAAATACCTTTGTTAGATTGGTTTCTTTCTCAGGTCTCTCCCATCCATCTATCACCTGTGTATTTTATTTTATTTTATTTTTTGGGGGGGGGAGGGGGAGGAATGTGGCTGGCTGTGACACACTTTTAGTTTGAACTTTGAAATACTAAAATAGGCAAAAAAAGACAAAGTTGCGCCGGTGTGATGGTGTGAGTTCTGAAATGTGTAAGTTTAGCACGGGTAAACTGCACCAGTCATTATACCCCCAGTGGCGCTCGGCAGATTTAGGGGGGTCCCCTTTTTTGCTCCATTAAATTTCCAGAACGGCTAATTCAAGTTGCGTATTCTGAACGATGGGTGTGACTCCAACGTACTACTTGCCCTACTCTATTTTTTCCGGGGCTGATAGCTGGGCCAAGTACTGGTGGTTTAAAAGTGGGGGCCAAAAGGAAAGAAGGGAAGGGGGAGGGGGGGGGGCCAGGAAAGAGGGTATTGTCATGAGGTTTGGAACAGCCTGCTTCTTGAGTCCCTCTGGTGAGTGACAGGGTACTGTCTGTAAGTTTCCCGGCCAGCGGATGGCCCCATAAAAAGAGCTATGGTTTGGGGGGGAGGGATGGATACCCTGCAGCCGCAGCCCCCCCCCGCCCTTGGGCTGGCGTCGAGTGCCGCAAGGGCAAGGCTGGTCTGATTTCCTGCACTTACTCTTACTTGTTGTCCACAAACATGCGTGCGGTGATACGCAACTTGACTCATGCCCCCCAGAATAGATGGGGCAGTGTTAAAGGAAAAGAAAAAGAAAAAAAGTACACTTATCCCAACATGTGTTTCTTCAATAATTCTCTTGTAATGCACAATCACCCTCCCTCAGGCTGGCCGGTGATTTACATGAAGTCGTTTCCCCGCTTTTCAAGAGGTTCTTTTGTGATTGTTTTCCCCTCTTTTCACAGTTTTTTAAATGTGATTTTCCCCCACTTTTTAAGAGTTTTTTTTTGTTATTATGCTCCCCTTTCTCTTGTTTCCCTCTACAGAAAAGAGGTTAGCGAGAACGAAGTTCTACTTCACGAACTAATCAATCACAAAGTACAGAAAAGAGGTTAGGGAGAACGAACTTCTACTCCACGAACTAATAGGCCACAAAGGAAGGAAGATAGATAGATAGATAGATAGATAGATAGATAGATAGATAGATAGATAGATAGATAGATAGATAGATAGATAGATAGATAGACAGACAGGCAGATAGGTAAATTGGTAGATAGGTAGACAGATAGGTAGGTAGGTAGGTAGGTAGGTAGGTAGGTAGGTAGGTAGGTAGGTAGGTAGGTAGGTAGATAGGTAGGTAGGTAGGTAGGTATACAGACAGACAGATAGACTAGATAGATAGGTAGATACATAGGTAGATAGGTAGATAGATAGATAGCCTAAGATAGATAAATAGAGAGATGGATGGGTAGATGGATGGAGAGATAGATGGACAGACAGATAGACCGACAGAATAGAAAATAGAGACAGAACAGACAGAGAGACAGAATACATAGATAGATAGAGATAGATAGCTAGATAGCTAGATAGCTAGATAGCTAGATAGGTAGGTAGGTAGGTAGGTAGGTAGGTAGGTAGGTGGGTAGGTAGGTAGGTAGGTAGGTAGGTAG